TTATGAAGAAATTAGTTGATGTCATAATTGAATAGGTTAAAATAGAGGACCATAGAAGCTAAAACTAAAACCACGAAATTTAACTTCTTTAGACCAAATTTAGAATAGTTTTAGGATATTTTACTGTTACAGGAGAATATTGAGATAGATGGGGATTCCACGTGTGAAATTAAAAATTTCGTGTGAAATGTCTAAAGTCAATATAATGCAATTAGGTGAAAATCTCAAGTTAGATGTCGGTTTGCTTGGATTGATGTTTAATAAGGGACATTGCACTAATTTAGACGTAAAAACATAATATTTTATTTAAAAATTTCTCTTCGTAACCTTTATGACTCGAGTTATTAAGTATGTAAGTGTGTTAAAACATGTTCCCCTAAAGTCAACTGATTTGGGAATCATTGGCCTAAAACTCACTAAATGGGTTATTTAGAAAGATTAAGGGAGAAAATACTTCAAATAAAGAAAAAATTTGTTGAAATAAAAATTCAAAAAAAATAGAAAAAGTAGGTGCATGAAATAGAAGACGCGCCAATTACTTACCTTGGTTAAGTCTCAAACATTTTTTTTTCAGAAAATTTGACTTTTGATAAGAGATTATTAGCCTAGTTGAGTTCTGGAGATTGAAGCAATCAAACTATGGAGAATCCTTGTTTATGGACATATCGACTTGAAATTAGTAAGATTTACCTAAACTAAAAAGGTGATGATAGTATAAAAATTCAACCTTAGGTCACACACTTGAAAAGAGCGAAAAGAATAATTTTGGGGTGTATGAACTTACGACTTATGAAAAAACATATTTGACCATTGAGAGTCAGAAATTAAAACGACTTATGAATTTATAATGTTATACTTAATTCTTCACACACATACACATGTAGATTTTACATTGGAAAAGTAGATTTTAATTTTTGTATTTTTCTCATTGCTTGATTGACTAGCCACCAATTAGGTAATTATCACCACGTGTTTGTGTATTTTTTAGGTTTTAATTTTGTTTGAGGACAAAGATTCATGTTTGGAGGTTTCTACACTTATTTGAGATCCTAAATGATGATATTTTACTTTTTTTGTATAAAATACTATCTAACTTGTGTTGTATTACATTTTATAGGTAAAAATCGATGTTTGATGAAGAATTGGAGAAAAGAATGCAAAAATAATAAAAAGGGCGAAATCCAAAAGTCGAGGACTAAATTGGAAACAATCCATAGATGAGACTGGCAACGAAATGAAGATTGAAGATACCAAGCATTTAATTTTATACAATTGGAAGATGAATGAACAAGGTTGCAAGAGAGAAATGGCCGAAATGAAGCAAATTCAAAATTCGGGGACTAAAGTGCAGCTACTAAAAAGTTGCATCAAATCCCATGATAAAGATTTGAGAGTACTATGGGTCAATTGGATGAGGAAAGAAGTCACGAGACGAAGTATAGTCAAAATATTATCACACATCAACTTTTAGCCGAAAAAGTTGTACTTCAGATTTTTAGCCTCACATTGATACCCAATTTTGACATAGCAAGCTATCGAATTGGAAAAATAATATTACTATAAGTATTGTAGCCCTTAGAGTTAGATTTTCAATGCACTTTGAATCACCTCAATAGGATATCGAAAGAGAAAGTTATGACAAAAATATTGAGAACTGTTTAACTGTTGAAAATTAGGCGACGCGTGCGCTCCCGCTTGCAAGAGAGGCCCGCGCCCCAACAAAAAATAGGGTGCCTCAGACATCTCAAACCAGCCAAGCTCGCACCCTGAATATGCTCAGGTGCGTGCCTCAGTACAAAAAGGGAAAAAAATCCGATTTTCCTTATTTTTGTTTTGGTAATAATTCAATTCAATCTTTTTGGAATCATTTAAATATCAAACTCGACCAGAATGTGGGAGAGGGCCATTCGAACTCAATTTCATCATATTCTACATATTTTTGAGGCGAAGAATAAATCTATACATCAATACAAAGCGAATCATACAAGGATTTTGAAGATTTAAAGTCTGGTTTTAAGATTTGAGACAAGAACGTGGATTTCTCCTACTTCTTCTATCATTTTTATTTCCAGGTGATATTTTTTCAACTATTCTTGTGTAGTTTAATTATAAGAATGTTAGATTAAGTTTTTAATTGTATTGGATGAATGATGAATCATATTGTTTATTTATTTTAATTCAAGACAATTAGTTTAGTATTTCTTGATTTTTCTTGATTGGTTTTTCATTTTCATTCTCATTGCTATTTGATTGCTTGATCACTAATTATATATTAAGTTATTTGTTGTAGTGTAGGAATATTCATAATAAGTGTAGAACGCGACAAAATCAATATATAGACAATAGGTATTAGGAATAATATCTATGGCATGTGCAATCATGTCTGATAAATTCTGTAAATCAATGTATATTTTTCATATGAATTCAGACTAGAAATATGATCGGGTCGTGTTAAACATAAGTTTAATATATCTTGAAAAAGAATATTAAATAACAGTTGTTTATCGATTGTTTTGAATGTATGAATTTACTAGATTACAAATTAAGAATTGAATTAAATGGCAATATGAGAATTCACAATTCCAATATAAAACATTTACATATAAAATAAATAATTCATTTGTTTGGTTAGTTTATGATTAATATAGAAAACACACAAATAATATATTTTGATATTACCACACTTTGAATTTAATAATAATTATTGAACTACAAATTAGATCTTATTTCTCGTGAAAACGATATTCTTAACCTTCAAATCTTATTAATTGTACAATGATCTCATATGTTTGAGGGTTTTGTCCGAACAATTATGATGATAAGTACACCAAAATATTTTATTTTTTTTTCATTTTTAGTTCTTATTGAATTAGGACTATAATTGTAAATTTGTTGTTGTATATTTATTGAAAATATATTTTAATTGTGGTGTGATTATAATGTAGTGTAAATTGTGATGATAATATGATTACCCAAAAATTAATAATTACTTCAATATTTGTGCTCATTCAAGATAATGGGTGCATCGTCTAATTGAGTTGAAGGTCGCATAATTATTCAATCTCTGTTTGCTTCAATTTTTGAAAATTCATTTATTTTAAATTTATTTTTAATAACATTTTTCAATAAATTTTTGCCTTAATTTATTAAATCCAAAACAATCAGGGGTTCGAAAGCAACACAAAATTTGGCAATTTTGTAATGAATTAAACCGTATATACAGAAGAATGGTTCACAGAAGATTTACCAACTCTCAGATGCATGGGACCCACCAAAATAAAAAATGAAAAAAAAAAACACGTCCCCCTCATCGGCTCTCCCCTTCGCATTTGTGAGTTTCTGTTAACCAAATCACCCACACCCTGTGAACCCTCGTCAATAAGGGCAGCATGATTATTTTGTCATGAGTAATGCTATGTGTACATAAAAATACACATAACATTTGACATAATAGCCGAATGGCAGCCCTATTGGGGAGGGGCATATTTCTTTTGTCATTCCACCCAAGGAGCGCTGGGAAAGGAAAGGGCAGGCCACGTAGGCCAGAGTGGGACCAGATTTTGTGGTGGAAAAATCAATTGCACTTTCTCTCTCTAAACCTAATCAAAACAAAACAAAAAAGTGCAATGGGTCTTGTGGTTTGGCCATTAATTTCTGGGCACATGGCAGCGTCAGCTCCATTTTCACTCCTACTTTCCCCATGGCTCCTCTCCAGCCTCAAAATTAAATCCCCAATTTTTAATGAAAAATCCACATAGAAATCATTAGTGGCTCACATTTTTCGAAAATTACGCAGAAATAACACCTTCCAGTTTTCACGTCTCTCTCGTCCAAATTTCCTCTTCATTGATTCAAATTACTTGATTTTTTTCCACATCTGCTTGCTTCAATTGCTCCAACTCTGAGTGTATACGCTTCCGATCCACTGTTTATGAGTGTATCGGTCGGTTATGCATAATCGTATAAAGATCGAAGCTTCTGGAATCGACTGTCTTCCAAGGTAATAATTCGTTTATTGTCAAGGAATGGGGTTTCTAATTTTGATGACAGGTATCTGAGCTCACTGATTGAACATTATTTTTTTTTCTGAAGGTTAACTCATCATGCAGTTTGTTTTGGTGAGGATTCTGGATNAAATGTCTGGCGAGCACACCATGAACTAAAATGTCAGAGTCAGTCTGAATTTTTTTATAGAAATTTTTGTTTTCCATATTTCTTGATTTAAATTGTGAAGCTCACATTAGTGATCGCTCATTAGTATAATGATTTTGTCAAATACATTGTGACTACTATTAATGATTTGAATGTTATTGTTGACATTTATTACCCTTTCATGTGGATGTAAAAATGGCTTTATATGGAATTGAAGATGATTCTTGAAATTCTGTAACTAATTATTATCCGTTGTCTGTATTTCTAGTTCTTAATTGGAAATTCTTCAAGTTCTGCTCAGGAACAATATCACATTACTCTTCTACTTACACCTTGATTATCCCTACTAGTCTTAGTTTATCAGGTATCATTCTATACCACCACCAGGGAAAGCTATTTGATGGGGTTGTGGCGAGCAATGAGCGAAAGGCTCCTCTATATTTGAAACAGTCCCCTGGTCCGCTATTTGGATGGACCCTTGTTCATCTAGAGACGAACTTATTGTTAAGGTCTCCTTACTGCTACACCACTCTTCGCATTTAAATATGAATGCTGAAATGCTTCCTGTCTTGTAGATATTTAGAATGATTGCAATTTTATATTCAAAATGTCGTTAGATTTATTCTTCAATAGCAGATTAGGAAACCTTATACAATCACTAAACAACGTGAGAGGTGGACGGAGGAGGAGCATAACAGATTCCTAGAAGCTCTCAAGCTCTATGGCCGTGCTTGGCAGCGAATAGAAGGTCTCTATATTTTTGCTTAAAGCATTTAGTTTTCAGTTTCATGCTAACTGAGTTTCAGGATTTAATATCACTGTGTATTTTTATGGTTTCAACTTTCAGCTGCATTAATTTGATATCTCTCCCTTTAGGAGAATTCTATTTCTTGGATGTATTTCTTGTTGGAATATTAATCTCCACTTACCAATACCAGCAAGACCATCTGATCAGGAATTAAGCACAGAAAACCAGTTCACTTCAGTTCACCAGCAAACCCGAGTTCCACCAGCTTACCAGATTACCAGCAAACAAAACGTGCACCAGCAGCCTCTCCAGTTAACTCATCCTCTCCAGTAGCTCCAGTTTCTTCTCACTAGATTCTAGCTTATTCTAGATTGTTCTTATGTTTGTTATCTTGTTAGTTTGTTAATTAGTTTGTTAGCTAGTTTCTTCTATAAATAGAATAGGTTGCAATGCACTTTCCTCAAGCTTGAATGAATGAGAAGTTCTTCATCTTCCCTGCTGTAATTTCAGCAGGTCCTATCCTCTGTTTTTCTTCTGTCATTTTCGTTCTATAATTTCCAGCCTAAATCTGAGTTCAATCCTTGATTTTATCATTTCTCTTAATTAGTGACCTGTTCTTTATTTTATTTTTTTGGTTCTGTATCTGGTGGTGTGCAGAACATATTGGAACAAAGACTGCTGTCCAGATCAGAAGTCATGCGCAAAAATTTTTTACGAAGGTCAATCACTACCTTCTCGTGACATTTTGCATTGATCATATATTAGCACTTCCTTTTGCGAGGTTTTGGACCCCATGTTGGAGAATGATAATGCAGGAAACTTACATTTGAAAAAAATTATATTTCAATGTTTGCACATATGTATCCTTTTGCCTTTTCTGTAATGTGTAATGTTTTCTCCTGCATCCTGGTATTATGGAAATTGTTGCTGGTCCTTATGATTGGTAGATGGTGGACTGATTAGACATTTTACCAGAATTAAGCATAATGATCTGATGCCTTGAAGTTCCTTGCTTGAAACTGTGTTCGGTGCACGTAGATAATTTTCTACTTTTTTCTAAAAGCTGTGTTTTTGCTATTTGCTGAGTATTAATATTGCAGATTGCAATTGCTCTTTACCTTTTGTTTACCCAGAGGTAGGATTAGCAACGAATCCAGATTGCTCGAGGCTGGGTCTAATATTTTTTTAAGTGAAGATACAATGGTCCACTAATTTTTGGTGCAGAGGTTGATGTTAAGATACATGTGGTAGTCGCATCTTTAGATACCTATTTTTGAGGTATATGGTTTTAGACTACGGAAAGCAAGAGAGGAGAAAACAAAAGATGCTCCAAAGGTTAATGATTCCAATGTAGGCTTGAGAAATCTTGAGAAAAAATTGAAGCAGCTGGTAGAATGACTATGTTTGGTACATATCTTGTACTTTGTTGTTCCGAATTGGTTTATGAGATCTTCGAAACATATTGAGGATGCTAGTGAAAAAGATTATACCTTGAACCTTGTCTCTAGTGAGTGACCTCAATTAATTCTGAGACGAGGTTTAAAGAAATAATATAAATGGGGTCTGTTGATAGGTTTGGTGTCAGTAATGAGTTTAGGACCAAATGTATCTAATTGGAAAAGGGTCATGATCAATGGAGGAACAATATCACACTTTTTGTTCTATAAGATCCCAAAGTAGATAATTGATTTTTTGGTCTTCCAGCTGCTCAACTAATCGACTCCTTCAAGCTTGGTGGTGAGACAATTAGGTTAACTTCGATATTGGACTTGGATGGTTCATATTAGGTTCCAGAACCAAGAACATACTCGGTCTGGGTCAGTTCTTGGTTCTTGAATTAGAGCCGTGGGTACCCGAATGGAATATATTTTTTTATATAATTTTAAAAATTTAAAAATTTATGGGCTGGGTAAAGAAAATACAAAATTTAAAAACTTTAGTTTGGATAGTAATTCGTCTAAAATTCTAGAATGTAACCCTAAGAAATAAAGTCTGCTGCTACTTTTTTCCTCTCGCCTCATATCAAATTATTTTATTTTAGAGATTAGTACATGTAAATCTTCGTAATTTGGGCTGTTTATGAATCAAAAAGTTCAAGTTAGGATTGTGATGTAAGTTGATAAATCAAAGCGTTCATTTTTTGCAATTCGAGCTTTTTATTTTTTACATTATTTACAAACTTAAGTGATTTTTTAATTTTTTATTATAATGCGTGACAATTAAACTTGATATATTCATAGTTTGTAGTGTATCCTTTTGGTTATCTCAAGTTCGTAGTTCTCTTTTGAAATATAATTTTTCCTTTTTTACTCAAACAGAGCGAGTTCAATAGGCGGACAGTAATTTCTTGATACTATATATGTAACGACCCAAGCCTTGTGTCCGACCGTTCTCTTACGTATTATCTAACAGAAATTCGTGAGGGGTAAGAGGGGAGATACTCTTCCAAAGCTAACAATATGTAAGAGAACGGTCGAGTACGACGCTTGAATACACTTGGACACGCGCTAATACCTACATGATAGATGTCTTTTTGTTTTATATTTTTAAATTTTCAGTACGTATATTTTAAAACTCATTATTAATTAAACTAAATGACAAATTCTTTTACGTAATAGATAATTACTGCTATTATCAATAACTTATTCAAAATAGATAATATTTATTAAGTAACAATTTCAAAGAACGTAAACATGTTTTAAGATAATAAGTAACTACATAGTTTACATTTATTATTTAAAAAAATACATAGTATTAATAATTGACAACTAAAGTTTCAATGAATGAGAATATCACATCATTGATTGTGTATGTCGAAGGCATAATCATGAAGTCTGATGACCAAGAGGAGAATAGAGGAAAGCGTACTTGGCAAGGGAATTTGGGATTAAAGATCTAGAAATTTAAAGTTTTTTTGAGGAATTGAACTAACAAGATCTCAACATGAAATCTTTTTCTCCAAAAAAAAAAAAAACCACTCGAGACCTACCTCAAGAAACTGAAAAAATGTGACAGCTAACTTATTGAAATCTCGTAGCAATCCAGAGCAGTACCTCTATTCTACTAAAATTCTAGATTAGGTTATAAGAACTCTATCAAGTTATTACAAATTACATGTTCGATAGTGCTTTGCTTTTATCCCAATTAGATCTATATGTTTTGTCATGATTCTAGCATACCTCACCAAAATTTGATTACATGTCCTACTATTCATATTTCTTTTGTACCAGAATATCTCTTTGTTCCTTGAGATTGGTTTGGGCTACCATTCAATCCATATGTCTATAATTTGTTTCCATAATACAGTTGGAAAAGGAGGCTCTTGTTAAAGGAGTTCCAGTAGGAAATGCACTTGACATCAAAATTCCTCCTCCACGTCCTAAAAGGAAACCAAATAATCCTTATCCTCGAAAGACAAATATGAGAGATCCTACTTTGCAGGTAGGAGTGAAGGATGGGAAAATATCTTTACCAGTTTCTTCTTCACGCTCGCATAAAATGATACTGGATTTGGAGAAAGAACAATTGGTTGAGGTATAGGCTAATCCTTTAATTGGTTTTTTTTTTCATAATGGAATCTTCATTAGTACGTTCAAATTTCTTCTTCGTGGTTCTTTTGTACTTTTCTTACATAATACAAGTAATGTGCTATTAATGTTCCTCTTCAATTTATTTCTTGATATTAATAATAGTGTGTTTCTCCCTCTAATACCTTGTTCTGCCAGAAACCTGGTGATAATGGAAATGTGGGTAACACTATGGAATACCAGGATGACAATAGTAGCAGTGAGGTTTTCATACTTCACAAGATGGGTCCTAGTTCCATCCCATCTTCAGAAATCAAAAACTCCTCACCAGCCTCGATTTCAACAAGACAAATGTTTACTTTTACGGAATTTGTCCCATTCTCGAAAGAGGCAAATAATCTGGATGAAACAACTGAATCACGCGTGACTATTGATTTCAAGGGACATCAAATGGATGAATCTGATGACAAACAGCTGTTCCAGGATAATAACTCATGTAACACCGCAAATTTTGGGAATCCTCACCTGTTACTAGAGAAATCTGTGCATGAAAAAAGAACAAATGAGCTGAATCAGACTGAAAATGTTAATTCCTTGCCAGCCGACGATGAACATGTCCCTGTGCACATTGTTGATGGGAGCTTAGCAATGAATACAGAAAACGTTTCTGCAGGCATTTCATATCCAGAATCCATGTTTCATCATATTAGCGGAGTTCCTGGACATCCAAACCTATTCATGAATTCACCCTCATCTGCTACTTCTGAATATCATAAGAATGCAACATCTATAAGTCAACCATTTCCAAGTTTCCACCCAACACTCACCCCGATCCAGAACCAAGATGATTATCGATCGTATCTGCACATGTCATCTACATTTTCAAGTCTGATTGTATCTGCTCTTTTACAAAATCCGGCAGCCCATGCTGCAGCTAGCTTTGCTGCTACTTTGTGGCCATGTACAAAAATGGTAGTCCCGTCAGACTACCCAGTAGGCACAACCGGAGGATTTCAACCAAGGCAGATAAATTCAGCACCTAGTACGGCAGCAGTTGTTGCAGCTACAGTGGCAGCTGCAACAGCATGGTGGGCAGCCCATGGCTTACTTCCGTTGTGTTCACCATTTCAACCTGCATTTACTGGTTCTCCTGTATCTGCATCTGCATCTCCAATCCATTCCACTCAAGATAGAGCAGCAGATAAGCAAAGAAGAGAAAAAACTGATGATCCTACCTTAGGAGGTCAACAACTAGAACCAGATTGCTCTGAGGCTTTCCCAAAGCAGCATTCTGCTTTAAAGTCAGCGACGTCAGATTCTGATGAAAATAAAGGTGCAAAGTTAAATATTGGGTTAACTGCTAATGAAACTGAAAAAGCTGTTGATGCAGCTGAGTTGAATGATTCTAACAATTTGAAGAGAAGAAAACGGGTGGACGGTTCTTCATGTGGATCCAACACTCCTTCCAGCAGTGAAGTAGAGGGTGCTCTGGAGAAGCATACGCAAGACAAAGAAGAGTCAACAGAACTTGATGTAAATCATTTATCAGGTGAGTCCACTAATCGGCGCACTAGAAGCACCGTAACTGTAAGTGATTCTTGGAAGGAAGTATCCGAAGAGGTAAATGGAAAATTTTGTTTTACAAATAAGACTAGTCATTTATGTTTTATTCATATGTTTTATAGTTGCTTTCCTATTTCTCTTTAAATACATGTGCAGGGACGAATGGCTTTTCGGGCACTCTTCACTAGAGATGTATTGCCACAGAGTTTTTCCCCTCTGCATGATTTAAAGAAAATGGGAATGAAAGAGAATGATAAGGAAACTGCAGAGGAGAAAGATGAACATGGATTGCAGCTAAACCGTAGTGTTAAGACATGTGGTGCCTTTTTGCAGAACCAAGAATTAGAAAACAATACTTCTTTGATTGGTGAAAACAAGGAAGATAGAAGGCTGAGTAAGGAACTTGAACATGCAAAACTCAAAGCTTTCTGCGCAGGTTTCAAACCTTACAAGAAATGCTCGGTGGAGGCAAAAGAGAACCGGGTGGCTGTCAACAGCCAGAATGAAGAGAAAGGTCCCAAAAGAGTACGCCTCGAAACAGAGGCTTCCACTTAAATGCTTGGCGGTAATATTCAATTCTAAAGCTGCCTCCCATGTCGCATGCATTATCCAGTATATCACCCTCTATTCTTTTCCCTACGGGGTTTCTAATATCTAGTTTGATTATCACGAGACTTTTCGTGTAGTTATGTATACTATAATTTTGTGCTTTTTATTTTGGAACCATGAATTTGTATTTCTATAAACTTTCTTTCATGGGATAACTTTTGAAATAAGTGGGACCTTGATAGGGCCAGCTTCCCTCCAATCAGTTGTGGAAAAAGAGGTAATTTCTTCACGCTTTTATTCTTCCCACTACTCACTTTCCTTTATGTACAGAAGGTTGTTGAAACCGTTTGTTATGGCATCGGCACTTGATCTTGCATTCTCTGTGTTGCGTCTTTTTAATTGTTCAAGCATACGAACCACTACAGTATATTTGTTGTCAATCTCGTCTTTTAGTATTCTAGTACCTTATTTTTGTTGGGAAAAACATGTGATTTGTGTGTAGATAAATTATCAACTACTATGACAAGTATAAATAATGTAAACATAAGAAGAATTAGAAAGCAAGTTTTAGAGAGTCAAGTCAAAAAAGCCATCCTAAAGTCGTGCTGTCTTTCCATCGTGCGAATATTTTTGACACTAAACGACTCTAAGATAAAACTCGTATAGTTCGCAGATGGTTTTTCATCTATGGACACGACCACGATGAGATAAAGAACGAGCCTCTTATCGAGTTGCTAAAATAATATGAATATAGTATAAACGTAGAATAATAATTAAAGTAGAGTGAAAATTAAACTCCCACAATATAGAGAATTATTTCAATTAAAATATAAATTACACTTTATTATTATTAGTTATAATTTTGTATTAAAACCTGAATTTAAAATTAAAATTAAAATTAAAAATTGAAAGTTAATATTAATAATTAATTTGAAAGTTAAAACTTTTTATAAGTTAGAACAATTTCCTACATGTTTTAATCTTTCAAAAAGATAAATATATTATGACAACGTTATACTGTGCAATAGATATATGTGTTTTTCAACTTGAACCTCGCTTAGTGATAACAATTCCATTTCGAGGGAGTTATAATGGACTAAGCCTTAAATTAAGTCTCTTTGACTAAACTTCAATTGTTATACACAGAGTATCGATTTCGATCCAATTCATAGCAGGTATCGCTATTAATGGTCATGCGCTCTTATTTTGATTATAGTAAGAGACTCTAGGGAATAACACAATCCCATAGTAATGGTCTAATGACAACTCTTACATAGACAAGTCCTCCAAGGAAGCGTGTGATCCGCTGTATCTGCACCTCGCGAGAATTCTCGTCTTGCGACTCATTTGAGGTTAAACCTTTTCTAACATCACATTATTATTAGCATTATTTGTAGGAGATATTACACCGATAATGTGCATATTATATTCATCAAGAGCATGCAGTTAATATGCGTGAAATCGAAACATCATTCGACTTACCGAAATCTGATTTGAAAGATAAAATAACGATTTACCGACTTCGAATATAATAATATGAATTCTTCACTTCCCAATATGAGTGAATGCATGTTGTTCGTCAATTCAAACCCTTCAATAAAACACATAAATAAATTAATCATATTCTGAAATCAAGCATAAATAAAATTAGAAATGAGAAAGATGAAATGCAAGTGATGCGATCGG